GCTGAAGAGCAGACCCTGCACCAGCGGGAACAACGCCAGGATGAAGAAGAAGATAAGTCTTGATTTGCTTTTCAACATTTGAATGGTAGGGTAAGAATTTGGCATCAACAACATGGATCCATTATCTTGCATCAACAGTTCAGGCTGCTGCTGCTGTAATAGTGTAGGGGATATTTTCTTGGCACACTTTGGCCTCCTTCATTTAAATTCCACTGCCTACTTGAGTGTTGACCATTCTTTTACAACCACAGCGTACCCATCTTCAGATAATGCACCATGTCGCAAAGCTCAACTCATCTCAAACTGGTTTCTTGAACAATGTGTCCAGTGTACTCAAATGTGAACTGCAGCTCCAACTTGTTTAATTCCATTTAAGTACGCTTGAAGTTATATGCTTCATTTCCTTTAAAATACACTTAATAGACCACCTTTCTTCTAGTTTCGAGATTAAGTCAACCCCAGAAAGGTAGGCACCTGTTGAGCTTATCCTAATAGCAAGATTCATATATTAGTCTGATGTGCAGTAGTTTCAGACTAATGTCTTCTTTAGCCGTGAAGTCTCAGACCCACCATATGTTTGCCCTTCTCCTTCAGAATCTACATTTTATTACCACCTAACAACCCATAGAGATAAGTTTATTATCAGCAGCTGCAAATCCAGCTCTAGCCTTTGCTGTGTTTATGATCCTGCAGAGACTACAGAGAAGTTTACATACAAGTGACCCTATTATTCACTAAGGAAGCAGAACCTTTCTGGCAGGAAATGCTCACGTAGTGCAGTGACTCAGGACAGAGCTATGAGTCTTTAAACAGAGAGCATGTGTTGATGAAACCTTTGATAAGAAATGCATTTTGTCATCATAGGAGCAGATGTTAAACCTAATTTTCCACTTTTCCCACAGTCTCATTTAGCCTTTGCAGAGAGTTTTGAGTGCAATTGAAATGGCTTTTCACACACAGCACTCGACACTTCTGATTCATGCGCAAGCACAGGCCGTGAGGTGATAAAGAAATTAAGATGTCTCTGTGTAATGTGCCATATAAATGTCAATAATAATATATGACGACCTTACTGCTTTTGAAATTACTCAGTTTCAGCAAAAGGGAATAAATTCATAAGCACAGATGACTCCCACACAATTGTGTCATCAGTTTATTTTCGCTGAGTGAGAGGTTCTCCTTACATATGTTCCTCCTCCCTGTGAGCTTGGTGGATGTCCTCCCCCCACGCCCAAGGTAACATGGAGGAATCAGGTTCAAGAAGGTCAGTAAGTGGGTGTGGAATCCATGTGTTTCCCACGCGGAGTAACTTGAAACTCAAGCACTGAGAAACATCAGTTATTGCTCACAGAACTGGAATTCAAGTAGACCCAAAAGGACCACCTTTTGTGATGAGGCATCAGGCTTATTGAAAAATAAAAACACTGGTGGGGGAACTCCAATCCTTTACTTAAGCACAAACGCATATCAAATCCAGCAATGTTACCACAGAGAACAGAGAATCCAAGATGTTGAACTGACTTCAAAAGTCCCCAATCCGACAGAGTAATGTCACAACAAGCCTGATCTTTGGAGGACATTGGAGGCCCTGCAATACAACCGAGAGAACCCAGAAGATCTGCTAATGTTCCAGTGCCAGACACCACAGGACACCTCCTGAGGTTCTTGACCAAATGAGTGAGAGCTCTTTTTGTAATATAAGGATACAACTTTTCAGAGTGGTGATTGTGTTGTCATGTCAAAGCCCTTTAGGTCAGAGCATATAGTTTTAGGATTAGATGATACGTATTAGATGGCGATGACTATATGATTTTCCTGTTGCTTTTCTGCATTTTATGTAGCGTTCTAACCTCCAAGTCTGAGGCCATAGTTTTCAGTTGGAAAAGGATGGAGATTCCACCTCAGGTCAGGGTTGAGTTGCAGTGGAGGAGTTAAAGATTCCCAGGGTTTTGAGTCGGAGATTGACATGGATTTATCGGTTGGTGTCATGTCTGCAATGATTGCACTGGATCGATCTATGTTCCTACCCTCACCCAGGGTCACAAGTTCTGGGTAGTGACTGGAAGAATGAGATATAAGCTCATGAGAGATGAGATTCTTTGAAAGGGCGTCTCTCTCTTAGAGATAGAGTGAGGAATTCAGTAATTTGTTAGGATCTTGGAATGATGCCACTACTCCTCCCCATTAACAGAGGTGGTTCAGGCAATGGATGGATGGATGAATCAGCATTTGAGCATTCTTGCATTTAGAGAAACACTGCTAGATTTTTAACATAAGCTCTTAAACTGAAATGTTGAGCATAAAGTCACATAAAATGGAAACATCTAAGAAAAAAAAATACTCCAAATTATAATTCCTGGGTTGGTTTCCACCACTGCGGGGGAAATTTCATCAGCACCAGAGTGGGAAAATGTTGTGGGAGCTGAGAGAAGAGATCCGTGTGGTTGAAATGTGGCCACACGCACACACATAAACACACAAAGGTGATGCATCCCACTGAGGCAGAGCTGTGGATGGAGAAAGAGCTCCCCGTGTGAACCACCATGTTTCCTATGTACCTCTTACGGCAGAGCGGATTTACCACAACACTGTCAGAACACATCAGCTGCAGTAGCCCTGATGACCTCCACACTCAGGCTCTCCCAGCACAGCCCTGGAGACACACCACAGGCCTGTTGCTTTAGTCCTACTCCCAGCGGCCTGCTCAGCCTGCCTGGGTCTCAGCACAGTGGAGAGGGCTCCCTAACACAATACTCCCACCCCTCAGTTTAATCTAGGGGAAAAATGATGACGTGGATTAAGCATTATCCATGCTGGCGTTTGGGAGACTAGACAGAAATAACAGCAAAGGGTCACATGGGACATTGCAAAAAGTTTTTTTTTAAAGGTTGCTCTATTGTAGCTGGAGCAGAAATGGCATTGAGCCCTTGAGCTATAGCTCCTGCTGCTTTGTGAGAAGAATAATATCCTCTGAACATGCCCACTGACCTCTTTGGGTTGAGAGACTCAACATATTCTGTAATGTCTTCCTTCTACTAGGTGGCTAAAAATGTGTCATGTCATCACTATATTCTCTTCTCACAATGGTATGCAGCCTGTCAACAGAGTGAAAGTATTCTTGGTTGTCACCTGTTCTTTTAGAGATGAAGAGGCATGAATTTCTGTCGGGTCAGGAGCAAGAATGCAAAAGAAGCAGTGAGAAGTAGAGAGATAAAGACACATGCATATGGCTTGACTGACACCGGTTCAGGGTTACGACCTGTCTGCTTTGCCACTTTCTCTTGCACAGGGGAAATGTAAATCATTGCACTGAGCCTTGGTGAGTTTTCTGTTGAATGGGACAGCTACTGAGTTGGGGATTTCGAAGGTTTTTCCCCCTAAAGTAGACACTTAACAAGGGCACAAAGTGTCCTTTTAACAGCCCGCTGGTCAGTGGACACAGCGTCATGACACCAAACCCTGGAGTGACACAAATGATATGTTGTTACCAGCTTGCAGACATCACAGGCAAGGATGAGGGCAAATGGAGTAATTTTGCAAGTACATCCTAGCAGGATGGTCAGTGGTAGGGTTTATTGAGTCAGCCGAGGCAAGAGACTTAAATAGTGGCAGTATTTTGGAATAAACATTATAATTTTTGAGTTGTATTAAAAAGAAAGCATGCCAAATGCTTATTTTCACCAGTTTCTCACACTTTTGTTTAACACTATTCCTGTCATTGATAAGATATTCTGTCAATCAATGCTTTTACTGTTACACAGTAAGGAGCATTGTTATATATCTAATTAAATAACACAGCGTGTTAGGTCCAAAGCAGACAAATATAAATATGTGATTGGTGTTTTTATATGATTATGATCAACATTCATTCATGCTGATTAAAGAAAGAATGAATAGGCGCAGAAGCTGTGACATCTCTTGTTGCAGTGACTAATCTGTTCCATCATGTAAATATAGTCTATAATTTGCACACTTTTTTCCACAACATTAATGTGTGTTTGCTACCTTTGGAAGCGTTGCAATTTCAAGAAGAACTTAAAGAACTTAATCTACACTTTCTTAAATGAAAATTAAAGCAGTTTGCATTTTTACACCCATCTGCAGATACCGTCAGCATTACTAAGATTTGAAATTCATGGCAAAAACATCCACAAAAGATGAGTAAGCAGCAAAGATAGCCTCTGATGAGGAAAGTTTGCATTGTTTTAATGCTTGTGTTTACTTCTTCTTTATGTCAGAGCCTACATGAATGGACCAACTGGTTGTTCTACATATTTTCCCTCTGCTCCCTGTTCACAATAGAGTTATGGTATGTAGAAGATGTTCTCCAAAGCTCTTTGTAGGACCAGCACACAACCTTGCCAGTCCCTTGAATTTCAGGTCATTTTTAAGCCATCCAGAGACAATATTATAGTATTTTATTTTGCTATAGCATGGTATATTATCACTTTGGATAACTGTGGTTCTGTGAAAAAGCCCTGAAAATAACTACAGACACACACAGTTAGCAATTAGCTGGTAAACATTTCCCTCAAGACCAGCGAGAGACTAAAAGCAGAGCTAAAAGAGAGTGATTTAGACATATATTAGCCAACTAGCCAAAATTGGCTTCAAGTGAATACTTTTATATTTTGTATAAAAGTTGATGGTTATATTAAACATCATCGATCCATCCAGCCATTAAAGTCCAGGTCAGAAGAAGAGCCACTGAAAGATATAATCTCTGTAGTGTGTCCTGGGCTGCCTCGTGGTTTCCACCCAGTTGGACATGCTCAAAATATCTCACCTAAGAAGCCTCCTGGTCAGATGGTTGTACCACATTAGCTGGCTCCTTTGGATGTGGAATAGCAGCAGTTCTACTTGGAACCACTCCCAGATGAACAAGCTCCTCGTGCTTTCTCTAAGAGAGAGCCAAGATACCCTTCCAAGGAAGCTTATTGGTAACCACCCTACTACTACCAACAGCTAGTGGCCGTAGATAAGTGCGAGCATGTGGACTGACCAGTAAAACCTAGTATTTCTGCTCAGCTCTGTCTTTACCACTGCAGACTGTCTGCATTACACCAGGCCGTCTGTCATTCTTAAACTCTATCTTTCCCCCAAATACCTGAACTTCACTTGAGGAAATAACTCCTGTAAAGCCCTTTTCTAGCTTGGAACTATGGTTTCAGACTTGGAGGTGCTAAGTTATCACTTGACTGCCAATCGCCACAGTGCAAGCCCGAGGTCACTGCTCGATGAAGCCAACCGCAGCACCGTATCATCCATCAAAAATTATGAACAGAATTGGTGATAAATAGCAGCCCTGATGTTGGAATACACCCACTAGTGACAACAACACTGGCTTAGTGCAATGTGAACCAAGCTCTCACCATAGCTGTACAGGAACCAAAATTATCTTTGACAACATGAAATTCCAGTTGTTAAACTAATTTAAACATATTTGGATCAGTCCTACATACAACAGAAACAGAGCACCATCAATCTAATACACAGGTGAGCAGTGTTTTTTTTTTTTTTCATGTTTGTTGCGTGAGCAGCAAAGGTTGCAGAGCCAGTCTGCAGACAGCTGGCTTCAACATGTCTGATCTCGTATTACAGGTGTGAAAATATAAACTCAAGCATATTAAGCCTGTTTAACCCCACCAATGCGTCCACTCTGTGTCATCTCCTTAAACTATCTGTAGTTATTTAATGTCAAAAAAACATGTTTGGGAGGGGCTTTATAGTCTCACAACAGCCTAAAAAAGTTGAATGAATACAGAGCCATTGTTTGCAAGCTTGGGAACGGGGTTCCCAAAGGACAAGACATGACAGAAAACAGGGACTGTGATCAGGGTATTTGGGTTTAAACTAGCATGTGGTTCTCATTGCTGCGGCATAGTGAGTGATCATTGTGTACTAAAGCTTTAACTGGCCCCAGCCTTGCACGTGAGCTGATCAAAACCACATGTTCCAGTGCGATTGTGTCTGTGGGCTTGTAAAGATGGAGCCTTGGCTGAAGAGCTGCGTTTGGCTCACACAGACATACAGAGCACTTTCTGCATGTTAAAAACATTTTTTCCACTCTTGGCTGATGCAACGTAGTACAACTTCCACATGGAGAATATTTTCCCTGACTAAGGGGTTTGGGATCTGATTTATAGTACAGCACCGTTGTTCAAATGAATCTGAGGAGTGAGGCTTTGTTTTTCTAAGAGCCCTCATTGAGTTAATATTCCAACAGCAATCAAAGAAGAAAGGAAGTTATTAAATTGATTATCCAGGCTATAAGCAAAAGACTATTTGGAGGCACTGAGAGATTCTTTGCAGAGTTACCATTAAGCTCAAAAAGATAGGCTGAACTATTTCTACATAATTATTTTAATTTAGCAGCCTTTGAAATGCAAAGATTCTGTTTAAGAAACTGTTAGAACATCTGCTTTGTATTTCCACAAGCATTTTTCTTGGTCTCGCTGCTTTAAAAAAAACAAGCTATGATCTATTTCAGATAAAAACTCACAAAATGTCCTAAATAATAATTATAAAGCTTATGATTGCACGTTTTTATTGTTTCCAAAATGTTTCTTCTTGTCCTGCGTTGGCGTGCAAATTTGTAATTCGTGAAAAGTTTTCTTACACTTAAAAAACCACTTAAAATGTAAAAGTCGATTAAGAGCTTGTCCAAAAATTGAAGCAAAGAGGGAAATTAACAATCAATATCAGTTAGCCTATATTTCCACTGCTCCACCTGGTAACTTTCATTGGCGTTTATAGTTTGTTTAATAAATGATCTTTTATTCAAGTTAACATTTTGTGTTCACATACCCTGAACCACTGTGTAAGACAAATGGGGTCTTGTCCGGGATTTGAACCCAGAACCTCTGACAGCCCTCCACTTGTTTATCTGGGCTGGCTTTTATAGTCTGAAAGGTCCAGGCGAGCTGCATCATCTCCCGACCCTCCCATGTCAGCCAGTTATTGGTAAGAGTGTGGCAGGACTTTCCTGGAGACTTTGTTATTTCACTCCTACAAACATATGAAATCATCTTTAATTCAGTCCACATGTTTTATAGATATTCATTACATAGATCACATCATTATATGTCAGTTAATCTATAAATGTTAGATGCGTGCTAAAGCATAAAGCAACTTTTGAATTTTAAGTTGTATTACTTTTAGCTACAATTAGCCTATTTAATGTAAAAACAAACAAACAAACAAACAAACAAACAAACAAACAAACAAACAAACAAACACACAAGCAAAAAAGCAAACCGAAAGAATCCACTACTTATAGCTTTATGCTGTTCTAATAATCATTTCAACTGTGCATTAAATACATTTTCAGTTATTTTTCTTTTAGATGTTTGTTTTAGTCTTTTATTTATAACTTTCTGTAAATCTGTTGCTTAAATGTGTTACCTTTTCCTTTTAATTCTGTCCATGACCTACCTTTTCTTAATGTTTTTTACAGTTATCACTACAAGCAATCCCATATGTAAATCCAGCATCTTAAGCTTTTTCAACTGTAAACCCTTTTAAATAAGTGTATTCCATTATTTTGATAACTTCTTATTTGATTCTGGGGGTGAATGGCTGGAGCCTATCCCAGCTATCATAGTGGAGTCTACCCTGGACATGATATTATAAGTTTATACTGGTTAACTGTTTACAACTTTAAGTGCCATTTTAACTTTTCAGCTTTCTGTCATTATACTCACCTGAAAGCTTGAACCATTTGTTTACTGGCTTTATTTTTGAAACAATGGACTTTCACAGCTGATTCCTGAAGCATTTCCCAATTGCTTTCTATTCCATCAGTACTGCAGAAACATTAAGATTCAAATGTGAATTAGTCAAATCTATTTTGTATCATCTGAGTTTCTCCACAAGACCTGGATACCTGACTTACACTAAAAGGTGAGTATATGACCATGAGGTGTTCAAGGGAGTGGTATGTGTTAGTTGGGTGATAAACGAGGGACCGTTTGTGGGCTGGCCGAGGTGTTCACAGTGTTGCTGCCCTGAAGTCCCCTGGAAAAAAGCCAGCGGCAACCTCACGGAGACATTGTGCGCCTTATCTCCAGCAGCCAGGATGCTGATTACAGGGCGACAGTAGAGGCATGCGCATATATCCTGGTCTGTGTCAGAGACGGTATGGCTGTGCATCTGCCTCCATGGCACCACAGATATTCACAAAGTCATTATAATGTCACTCACTGTAATAGGATGGTGGACTTTTGAGGCAGCAATGTTTGACAAATACTGTTTCCTTGGACACTGGTGGCATCAGGTTGCAAAATTGTTTTAGGTGATGCTAGCACTCTTTTATTTGTATTTTATACAGCCAACATATCTTTGTTGGCTTAAAATCTAAATGCACATAGACTCTGTCAGCAGTAGACTTTTAATGTACCTGGTTTAAAAACCCAGAGTTTTTAGGTTTATTGTACATACAAAATATTATAGTATATTATAATATTATATTATAATAAAAGTCAAGTGTTATCTTGTTATCAGTGGTCTTGCTGTTGTGTCATGGATCAGCTTTGCTATCAAGTTTTGTACACATCGCCATCACATTCTTTAGACCTCAAAGTCCATTGTTTACCAGTGGTGCTAGTTTCAGTCAAATGTACGCTTTATGCATCATCTCCTGATCCTCCCATATAAACCTTATAAAGAGCCTCTACTCTTTATAAGGTTGTGGAAACCTGTAGTCAAGTGAGACCAAAGTAGTCACTTGGATGAGCGATGAAGTGTTTCTCCCCCTGAAAACGCTACATCCAGATGAACAGAATCAACTTTTGGGGGGTTCTTCATTTGGAATTATTCCACTTTTTACATTTATAGCATTACATATACAGTAATGAGCAAAAGTCTTGAACTACCCATCATTTCTTCATATTTTGCTTCTAAGGAGCCAGACTTGTAAATTGTTAAAATTGTCTTGAGTAATACATCTTCAAGCTTTCTAAAGGTGTTTGAAAGTTTTTCTTTGGACATTGGCTGCTTTTTCACTCATTTTGTCCAGTCTGTGTAAATGACAATTTTCAGAGACTGTTTTGTTCGTTTTGTTCATTTGTTTGTTGGATAAGCGGAAGACCATGGATGGATGGGAACCATAAGTGTACTCCAGGGGACTTGTGAATCAAACACAAAAAGGCACCTAACTCAAAACATTTAAATCAACAAAAAAAACAACAACAAAACAAAACGTTATATTAACTAATCGCTCCACATGTGGGCCAACGCCTGGTATGCCAGATTATAGTCAAACCCTGAAGAGAGGTACAAGAGTGAGTTTCTACAACAATCTTTGGAGGCTCTGTCATGGTTTGGGTCAGCATTTCAGCCAGGAGTGTTTGGAATCTTGTCAAAATTGATCAAGTATGAACACAGAAATGTGTAATGCTATCTAGGAAATATCTGATTGTCTTAGAGAATTCAGGCTACTCATGTGCCAAATAAAACAAATGAGGCGTGGCTCAAGACCAACACAATACTTGGTTCTCAGATACAATTCCCTGCATAGAGTAGTAAGAACAGAAATCTGAGAGGAGTTTAATGAATAATAACTTCAGCGTTTGTGTCTTTCCCACATTTTTCAATCATAGATTAATTTTACTCTCCTGGAATGAATAGTCACACTTATGTCAAACAAGTGGGATGTTAAAGGTCCTGAGATGTGTCAGCGTGTCAGCTGAGAACTGGACTGCTATTTCTGAAACTCTGCAGCTCCGAAAGAAAAGTGCCAAGAAGGTAAGTTAATAATTTGTGTCAACTATATTTGCTTCACAGGAATGTGACACCAGACACACAAGCAAAAAGTAAAATTTGACCCACGAACTCTCTGACTCTGGTTAAAAAAGACATTCCACACAGGTGTGTGCCAGAACAACAGACTTGTCTCTGCTCTAGATGTTTCCACACATATTTCTGATACAAAAAGGGCAAATACGTGAATACAATAAATGTCTCCTTTTGATCCACAGAAACAGAGCTCATGAAGCTCTTGCTCCCTTTTTCATACACTGGCAGTAAAAAAAAAAAGACAGCATTAGCTTTTTATTTCAGTGTCCAGTTCTCTTTTCAGGAGAAGAAGGCCTGTCGCAAATAGATTTAACCCTCTCAGGCTCAAATTAAACTTTTTGTTGCTAATGCACAACCAAGTCCTGCAGTGGTACTTCTGAGTAAAAAAAAAGTCCACTAATGTGTTTAGACAAGGGGATTACATCTACATTTTCTATCAGTATTCAATAATCTTACAAGCTCTTTGGTTTACCAGCTGACTAAGACATTGTAAAATCTAACTTTAACCTCAGACTATTTGCCTTTTATCCTGACACTTAGATGCAATATCTCTCTTTTGCTTTAGGTTGAAGATGACCGCCTGCAGCAGAACAGAAAATCTGGCAGCACCTGTCTCTGCTGCTGAGCAGGGGGATCTCGACCCGCAGACCACCAAGGCTGCTAGATGTTAGCCGAGATTACAGTACGTTCTTCGTCTACTTATAAATCTTCCCAATTGCTACATCTTACAATTTTTCATAGTTTCTGAAAAGTAACTCTGTCACGTTATTGTCAGTTACGTCTATGGATTGTTGTAAAGTTCTGCAGAGTCAAAGACATATATGTGTATGTTTATTTTAAGTGACTTGAAGACTTCACAGCTCCCAAACAATTGAAGTCAGGCAATAATCGCTTTCCTGTATGTTTGCAAGGCATATACCTTTAATCAGATGTTTCCCAAATATTTCTTTCAAGTTAAGTTTTATTGAAGCTTTTGCGTAACTTCAATAAGGAAGATCAGTAATCAGTTACCTGCCTGCTTTCTGGGAGTTTGGCTGCCAGTAGTCTGCTACCACTTTCCCATCTTGTCAAACTTAATACCGTGGTGGTTTAAATGTGCTCTCCATCATTTTCCCTTTCCAACTCTCATTTGTGCAACCTACCTCCTCCCTATATCCATCTCACCCAAGTCACTCAGAGTTTCATCCAGGCCTCAGTCGTCAGCTTCACCACCAACACCATCATCTAGACTCCAGGGAGTCTTTTCTTATATCTTATCACTGTTCTGTTCTACTATGATGGGTCATCGGAGTCTAATCATCAATTACATTATTTTTCTATATCAATAAATCATGCTTAATTCTTCCAAACTATTTTTTCTCATTGAACTTACAATGTTTATTCAGCTGTTTATTTTTTCCATCATTTATTTTTTATTTTTTACTTTGTTGATACTATAGAGCAAGAATGGGCTTCTCATGTTATGCTTTAGAGTTGTCATCTTCATTTGGTGTGATCTAACCACCGGTGGCTATTAGATGGTGCAGCACCAAAAACTGCAAAACATCAATTGGACATTGGTGCAGTGGTTAGCCTGATTCTTGGTTTGACCCAAAACTAGTAGATAATATAGAAGTAGAAGCTTCAACATTAGCATTTTGGCTAATGCTTGTAAGCCTGGTTAACATTAATAAACTGTGGGAGTAAGCCATACATCATCATATTATTCATCAGTAATTGGGAAATACAGAAAAAGAATGCTATAATTTCTCTAATTTCAGGTTACTTGTCAGTGAACCTGTTGGCCAGCTAAAAGTGTGTGATATATATTAGCTAGCTAACTAGACAGCCTTCAGTTAATACATTTTTCTTTTGGGAGATATTTTGGATTTTTTCCAGTTTAGTTAAGAACAGTGAGTTATTCTCTAAAAAGTAAGTTCCACTATGCTTTCTTGTCATCATCTTTTTGTAAATGCAATGCTCTTTAGGACCATATAAATTAATAAAATATTACTTGCTGCTGATTAATAATTTTATTTTTAATCTTATTTCTTCAGAGAAAATAGGTGCTGTGGCTGTTGAGCACACCAGCAGGCAACAATCTCAGTTACAGTCAACCATCAATACAATTTTCTCTGCATTGCTTAACTTCTTTCTGATAACTCATCCATGTGCTGAAGCAGTTGAAGAACTCTCGAGCTTTTCCTCTTTCTGCTATAGCAAAACCTGCAATCCATCACCAACTTCCTGTTTGTGCAGAGGCTCAGTTTACATGCTTCCTGTATATGCCAGAGGACTTCCCTCACGACACTCTGGATGCACCGACTCTTTCAACAGCCTGCTTATCTCCAAGGCACAGAGTGACACAAATACAGGCTTAAGATTCCCTGGTGACAGATGCACACACCTCAAAAGAAAGGCATCTTTACAAAAAAAAAAATTCCATAAATAAATAAATGAGTACTGGTTCAAATACAGGGCAGTCTTCATTATCCAGCACATATTTCTGATACATTTTAAAGTCATGAAATAGTTTTTGAATGAGAGTTTGCCTTTTTTCAAGTGAAAATCTGTGACAGGGGCTTTGACAGATTCTCTGGTTCAGTCAAATGTTTATTCAAATGATTTCCAGAAAAAAATATCATCTTCTATTTGGGCTGAGTACAGAAAGTAAGGCTGCCAGTGCTATGGATGAATCATAATATTTGATTGCTACTATTTTGCCCACTTATTCTTTTCCATTTTCAAAGCACCATTGACACTTTACCTTGGTGTTGACAGAACCTTTCAGGTTTGGGCTCTTGTTTACTTCTCTCACTGATCTCTTGCCATCATTGGGATCTGCCAGGAAAAGCTACAGACACCTCCACCACAGCAAACTCTGTCAGGCAGTCTCAGTGAGCACAAAGAGAGAAGAAAGTATGCCAAAAGTTAGTGTGTGGTATAAAAGTGCTGATCTTGTGTGTTAATCAGGGGGAAGAAGTGCTGAGATTGCTCATAATGCCTAATGGTTCAAATCAGCCTTAGGATGTATGGTAGTGGGTTATAAATACCACAGCTGCTAAGATGATGCAACTAAAGTGCTATCTGTGACTGTAAAGTTTTGAGACTCTTGTGCAGGCAGACCCAGCTGGTTATCGACTGATAGCAAGGTAACGCTCCCTCTGGTCTTTAATGGTACAATGTTTAATTCATAGACAGGCCACAACTCCCGCCAATGCTTTCATGCTCAGGTTAAATGTATCTGAGCAAAAAAAGCAACTGCCTTACTACATGCTAAAATGTGTCTACCTTAATTATTTAGGACTGCACACAATGACAAGACTGTAGAGCAAAAAAGTCAAGTTAGAGAAAAAAACTCTTAAGTTGATAGCATTATGGTAGCAGGGGTTTTTATGTGTGTGTATGTGCTGTCCATGAGCAGTGATGTTATTCAGCTAGTGCACTTGGCCTAAGAGCATGTGAAGTGGTGCTTCACACAGAGAGGTGATCTGCCAGATGTAAGTCTTCATAAAATTCACAGTGCATTTGCCACTGTAGTCATTCAGGCAGGGGCTTCCTCAGCAAGGACATCACTAGACTAAACTGGAGTAACATGAAACTAACATTACATTTTGGAAATTTAATTGCATTTCTGGTAATTTGGGCAACTTGGAGGCAGAAAACAAATAAAACAACTATTATCCCTCAAATATTATCTTAACCTCACCCAACAGCTCCACCTAGGCACAGGGTTATTCTTCTTTAGTCACATGCAGTCTTTGGGGATGCAAAATTGGTTAAAGAAAAAAAGAAAAAAAAAGTGACCGTCAGTGGATCATCACAGTGACCCATTTAGAGCAACTGTGGGGATCCCTACATTGGACAGCTGAAAGGAAAAGAAGATAACCAAGGTATGCAGAAGAGAATGTCTGAGCTCAGCAACAGAAAATCAAACCAGATGCCACTCCTGTCAGCTAGGAATGGGAATCTAAGGCTACGGTTTGCAAGGGCTCAGCATAATTAGACAACAGAAGACTGGAAAACATTGTCTGGTCTCATGAGCCTTGATTTCTGCTTCAATATTTGGATAGCAGGGTGAGAATTCAGGGTGGTATAAACAACACAAAACCATGGATCCTTCCTGCCTTGTATTAACGGTTCAAGCTGCAGGTGGTGATGTAATGGTGTGGGGAAAATTGTCTTTGGCGTCCACAGTACCAACTGAGCATTACTTAAACATCGTAGCCTACCAGAATATTGTCATTGAGCATGTCCATCCCTTTATGGCCAAAGTCTACCCACCTTCTGTCGGCTGCTTCCAGTCGAATGCACCATGTCCCAAAGCTCAAATCAACTCTGTTCCTTAAATCTGACGAGTTAATTGCGCTGAGATGTCCTCCACAGTTTTCAAATCTCAAACTAATAGAGCACCTTTGTGAACACATTTGGCACCCCCGCAGCAACAGTGTGATGCTATCATGTCAATTTTTACCAAATTCTCCAGCCCAGTATACCAAGATGTAATTAATAAAGTGGCAGATGTTGTGATTTAATCTTTATTGAATGCTTGATCTAAATTTGGAACTGTCATCCCATTTATAGTAAAATAGACATGAAAACGTGATCTGCTTTAAGGTGAAACGCCCTTGTACTTGATAAGTTGCTCATATTTGCCATTCTGTTTCTCACCCCTCATTTCTTCTATTTGTGTTTCTCTGGTGGATACATTTTAATATTAATATATTTTTTAATAGCCAAAACAACTGAATACTGATCAACTCTGCCCTCTTGTCCAAATACAGCCCATTCCAGTGTTACGGTTTGCAGAGAGGACCTAAATGCAGGATTCCAGGTAGGCTGGAAAAGTTTGCAATGGAATCGGGACACACACTTTTAAAGGATCGTAAGGTAAAACCAGAGCCTTTGAAATGGTACACAGTGGCTGCATTCATCTGGACATAAGTCCATATTAAACGTGTCTTTTCTGTTTCTTTCAATTTGATTGATGTTTCCAAAGAGCTGTTGACACGTTAACAGAGATGTGACTGAACAGCATTGAAAGATGAAAAAATAAAAACCTCAAAACAAGTAGCTAAAATGGGCTAAAAACCTAAAGTGGCATGCATTATTGTGTAACAATTCTATGTTAAATTTCAGGGGGGAAAAAGCTGCCTAATTGATTAACAACAGTGTAATTTTTAATAAATACTCTCATTATTTTCAACACTAACTTTTTAGATGATAACAGATACTTTATGACCCTGCAGTTCCCCATTATGTCCAGGATTACCTGGAATCAAGTTCATTTCAAAATTGCAGGTGGGGATTATGAGATCAAGGCATTATCTCCTCAATCCCAACTCTGATGTTCAGTGTTTAACCTGCAGATTATAGGGACACAAGGTTAGTGTGAAGTGTATTCATCTTAGGTCAGCAGCCATGGGACCAGCAGTTTATAAATCTAATTTGCATCTGACATGTGATGTGGTTTCCTCAGGGAGAAATAAATCTGTCCTGAGTGAGACAGATGAAGACGTGAGGTACTCCCCATTTTGGGTGAGGAAGTTGTGTAAGACATATGGCTGTTTCCCCTGATGAAAGACCTTTTTCTTATGTTGTCAAACTGCAGCACAGCAGCAGCAGGGTGAAACCCCCACCTTGCAAGAATCCAGCAGAGATCAAAGGTCACTGCCCTTCCTGCCAGTCAAAGCAGAGGAGTGCTAACAGAGGACTGGGTCCATCTGTAGGCTGAAATCGAACCACTAGCTTATACTCCTCCTGCTACATCTCTTGTTTCTATTGTTTAAACAAAGCTGCTTATTTAGAGTGGGGGGACTTACTATAATATTTCTGCCCTGTTTTTCTTGCTTTGTTGCAGAGACGTTTTGTGTTATAAGAGGGGGACGGACTTAGTGACTTTCTTCTACCTATCATCTATCTTTATTTCCTCTGTCGCCACAGAGCTCATAAAGACAGTTCATGACCCTCCCTTTGACTTCAGCTCCTTCATCTTCAGTTGTCTCGATAGGCTCAGCTGGCAGATTTATACCCACTCAAAGCCATTGTGTGCTTATCGCCCTAATTTCTCACCGCTTTTTGACATATTACATGCTGGTTTGATCAGGATGTGAAGGCATCCCTCTCACTACTTTAGAGAGATATAGTAGATTTCCTGTTTGAGTGGGAGAGGGTGTCCTCTTCCTTTGTGGCTGTAAGATGTATCTGTTCTTATTTCTAATAACATTAGAAACCGTATGAAACAGTTGCTAAATGCATTAGGGGTATCCATCCAGAGATTTCACCTAATCACACAAATACTCTTTTTTTCACACACACCATTTTGTTAATGTGCGTTAGGCTGGCTCTTTGTAAGGTTACCAGGTAGAGTAAATGCATTACGCCATGGATCATTATGAGGCCATAACTTTGAAGGTTGGCTGAATTTATTCTAACTGGAGTCCACCGATGCGAAGCTAAAAGAGAAAAAAACAAATTGATGAGATGAGGTAGAAAGACAACAAGAAAACAAAAAACACTTATCCATATTTATGGATAAGAGTAATCCCAGCTGTAACTGCAAAGAAAAGGGTATTCCCAAATGTTAAAGCAGAAATAAAAATCTTTGTCTGTTGCTAATTTCAACCTTTATAAGAACTGCATAGGAATTAAGGGTCAAGTGAAGAAGGTCTCCCTCCTGTGCACCACTTCCTGGTTACCGAGTGTGTGTATTTAGTGTCCGTGTCTGCTCCTGCTCGTTGTCGTGTCGTACCCTCACCAAGCGGTGTGCTCTGTCTCCCTTGCCGGTTTAGCTTATGTTTGTATCTTTCGGTTCAGTTCAGTTTGTGTCCAGCAATAAAGCTGTTAAAGCTCACACCTGCCCTTTTTTCAAGTCTGCATTTGGGTCCTCCACCCCTGCCTGCATGCATACAGTGATGAAAGTATGAACCAAACCTACACAGGGATATCACAGGGAATCACTGGTTGCTGAGGAAAAAATGTATATTCCCTGACTGATTTGTATAAATCTCCTCATGATTGCTTGGTCCATCCATTTTTTTTCTCCGCTGATCCATTTCAGGGTCTCAGGCAGGTTGGAGGCAGGTTACACTCTGGATACGTTGCTAGACATGCATGTCTCTGGATTGTGGAAGGAGTACCTGCTGAACACCCATGCAGATATAGTGAGAACATAGTGAGAATCCTCTTTTTTTCCTCTTATCACCAGTGGTCACTAGATGGCTGCAGACTGGTCTCTAGAGTTGTGTGACTGAATTGCACTCTGATAACATCACATGGCTATTGGTCATCTGTCTGCAAAGCCACAATATCGCTCTGACATTCTATGCAGATCTTTTTATAAAATAAAATAAACATCAATTGCAATAAAAGATTGAAAGATAACCTAGCAGCTTCCCGCAAACTGAACCTTAACTGTCATAATGTTTAAT